TTAGGAGCTTAGTTGTGAATTTGTAAATAATCTCAGCTCGGGGCAAAGTCTTCCAGCTCCTCCCGTACGCCTTTAATATCTACAGTCCAGTTTTCATAGAGAAAAGTTAAAGGAGATGTGTAAAGGGACGTCATGTCTTCACTTACTGCTGAGATCACGGTAGAACCGCTCCGCTTCATCCGCGGAGTCAAACATGCGAGACTGTCCGTCAATAGTGACCCGCAAGCGCGCCGGGTAGATCAGCCCGAAGCGTATCCCATCCTTGTAGAGGAGAGACTTCACTTTGTTGAATGATGCCCGTTTCTTGGCGAGGGAAGCGCTGAAGTCCTCAAAGAACCTTATGGGATAACCCTGGTATGAGATGCCCCGTGTTTTCTTCGCCCATAGCAGCACTCGCTCTTTCTGGATGTATCTGTGAAAGCGCACAAGAATGGGCCGGGAGCCCTGCGCCGGTTTCGGCCCCAGGCTGCGGTGAGCTCGGTCCAGTTCAAAGCTCGTATCTGGTGGAGTGTCTCCGATCACGTCCTTAAACAGCGTAGTCATAAAGAGACGGGTATCAGTCCCCTCCGCTCCCTCGGGGATACCAATCACACGGAGATTCTGCCGTTTGGATCGTGAAACCAGGTCCTCAACAGCCAGCTGCAGCTTTTCATTCATCTGGGTGGTGGTCTCCACCTTGGACTTCAATGTGGCCACTTCGTGCTGCAGAGTCGACAGGTCATCTGAGTGGGAAGAGAGGGCTGTTTCCATTGCGGAGATGGTAGCTGTGTGCGAGGCTACAGTATCAGCGATCTTTTGCAGAGAAGCTTGGATAGGAGCCATGGCAGTATTCAGGGAGGTGGTGAGTTCACCTGTTACATCTTTGCGCAGTTTCTCGAGTTCACCGATGAGCATGTCCAGAGTTAGCGGTTGAGCTCCACCTGTTGCTACATTGCTAGCGCATGCCTTGCTAGCGTCTTTATCGTGCGGGCTGAAGTGTTGAGTCAACTGAGGCTGACCTTTTCCCTGGCGGGTCCCGTGGGATTTACTCATTTCAGTTTTGGAAGTATTACGCTGACATGCAAATAAGTCAAAAAATCTGAGTGTAGATATGTTAAAGTTATAAATGGTCAGGGAGCAAACGCCAGGCGTGTGATCACTCTGCCGCCATTACCGGAAGTCCCAAAACTCTCTTTAAGAATAAAAATGTATTGGCCTACAGGTTGTCAAATTAAATGATAAAGAGTCTAAAACTGTGAAATCATACCATCATGTGTAAGTTTTAAGTGTAAACTCTCCCATGTTGCTCAAGCCACTAAATTCCTAGAAAAGGAAATCAAGGTCATGACCTCTGTGTCCTCAGCAGCACTGTAGCTATAGCCCTGGTAACAGCTGTCCTATTACCATGAGCCCTCGATCATTCATAGCATCACAAATAATATGAGCTTTAACATTATGTGAAAATGTGTTTGAAGTTTGACTATTTTTACTCACTCAGATGAAAATTTTTATTACATTATTACAAAACCTGATGGTTATTACCTATCAGTTTTTTCAATCCACAGAGGCTTAAGTTAATGAAGGATAGTGACACTCACACACATCCACACACCCACAGGCTTATGCACATACACACTTACATTTGCACATTATCCCTTTTGGCTTAACACTTCAGTATTTAATGATTCAGGTGTCTACAGTGAGAGGGAGGCAGGAGCAGATCGGTATCAATCTAATTTGGGAAGAGATTAAAGATGGTGGAAATGTCTTTCTTGACGGATTTTCTAATCTGCAGCACACGATTTTACTCCCACAATACACGAGAGAATTTTAAACAAGTCATCCATGGATTACTGTATCATTCTCCTCAGATCAGGGATTGGGCGCTGAAAGTGGTCTGAGGCACGGACTTGATGCCAAAGCAAAGAGAAAGCTCTGATATAGACAGACACTCTGCAGACCAATTCACTTAATGGTACAGAAACTCTCTGTTGGCCTTTCTTGCAGAAACCAAAATGCACAAAGCATAATCTTTGCGTACACTACCAATCAAAGGTTTTATAACACAACCTGAAAAAAAATGTAAATTACAGTTTTACAAACTGCCTTTTTCAGGGATCAAGTAATAAGTTAACAACTACAACTTTCCTGAAGCAGTGGAAGCAGATTAAGAATTGAAAGTTGATGCAAACAGGTGTCCCAACTTTTGTTTATCACTTACAAGCCCTCTGTATAAAGGCAGTGTTGGAACAAACTGTGTTACTGTACCCTCGGAAGCTTTTTTGGAGGAAATAGTGCTGTGATGAGAAAAAGGAAGACAGACTGGTTGGTCAGGTGTTCATCCCAAAGCAAGATAATGAGAGGAAAAGAAATAGACAGATGATGACATGATGGAAGAGCAGCATGAGTGTCCAGACTCAAACCCCATCGAGCTGGTTTGAGATGAACTGGACAGAAGGTGAAAGCAAAGCAACCTTCAAGTTCAACATATTTTGCAACAGCGTTGGGATAAACTTTCCGAACAACATTTCATTTCCATTGTAGTAAGAATGCCACTAGTGTGTTCAGCTGTTGAATGAGTCAAAATCTTTGATTATATTTTGTTAAACAAAGAAAATTCATTCTCCAATTGTTTATTTGTTGTTCAATGTTCTATTCCAGAGTACATTGAGACATTAGACTACCTACATGTCAATAAATCTTTTATGCTTTATTTTAGGCTTGGGTTGAGCTACTTTTCGTGATCTTAGAGTCAAACTCAGCGAATACATTATTCTGCACCAGGGAAGGTCAAACATCAATGTAAAGTAACAACATGAAAAAAATTTTGATTTGAGGGAGACTTTAAGACAACTGCAAAGCTACAAATCAGCTTCAATTCAAAATATATAATTACATTTTGAAAAGTGAAAATGAAAATCCGGAATATTTTCAATTATATTCTAACTAGTAAGAGCGGACCTGTGAGTTATACGGACATACTAATTAAAGACATACAGTATGTACAGTTCAGTTGTAAGTACATGAAATATGAATTCTACATATCTCCATTCCCATGACCTGTACCACTGCTGACTGTGTGAAACTCTACCTGCTCTCTCTCTCAGGTCTCACGGTGTATCAGCAAACACTGCTGCACGCATGGCTACACGTGACACAATAAGAACAGTGTCCGTAACTGGACGGAGAATGGCACGCGCCTACTCCTCACTGGCTACATGCCTTTGTCACTGCTCGGTGTCCCGGTCACTTTGACTAAAACCTTGAAGAGACACTTATCCATCGGCATGTAGGCTATTGTATTTGTTGTAAACATTACCCGTAATGAGCTGTTATATTGACTGGACACATCACTCCGGTGATTAAGGAGAGCATCATCATCAGCACGTGCTGAAATGAAGCGGTTTTGACAAGAGTAATTTCTAACTCAAATCATTCTTTTTGTTAAATCGATAATATTAAACTATATTATTCCGCCAAGTTATGTAGTTCAGTCAGTAACAAAAAGTAGTTGCCACGGATGCTGCTGTGATTTTTCAGTTAAAGCCATTATTTAAATCAATCACTACACTGTTACATGTGTGTTTTAATCAATTACTTTACAAGTGCGAATCGAAGAACCAAAACACCGGGACCATTTGTGTCTCTGTCCACTTATAGCATCACTTCACGCCGCTGACAGATCACAACATTCCCGCATCAGTGCGGGTGTCCGCGCTTCGGCATCATCAGCCCCGTGAAGCTAGTTAGCTGCTGTCCCAGCTCCGGAGCACTGCGGTACTCGCGGCGTGATTTATAAAGAAACTGGATAAATAATAATAATAATGATTAGAGGCTCCGTCAATAGAAATTGTTGTTTTTAAACGGCGATCTTATTCCGACCCGGGCAAAGTTTCACACGAGTCCCGCAGGACACCTGAGACCGAGTACTTACCGTCTATCGCCATGATGCTCCGTCTCGGACTCTACCAACTGTGGGGGTGGTGGTGGGGGTGTGATGGAGACGGGAGGTCATTCATGAACCAGTGTGGTAGTGTTTGTGAGAGAGGGAGAGATTGTGTAAGCATTTATGAGACCTATGGCAGGTATGGGGAAGATTCAAGTTATATTATATTATATTATATTATATGATATTATATTACTCCCCGTTGTTACCTTTCTAAGTAATAAGAGAAACTACAGCATGTTGGCATGAATGGATTATTAGACAATGGGCCCCTGGGCACATGTAAAAGCCTTTCCTATATAGGAGCAAGACATCCAAATTGAAAAAAGCCACAAAACAGCCAAGTTATTTGTAGTCGTTTTTTTAGTCATTTTGTAGTCTTGTGGAGCTTTTTGTCTCTCTTTGTGGTTATTTTGCCCCTTTTGGTTGTCATTTTGCATCTCCTTGTGCACATTTTTGTGTCTTTGTGGTCATTTTGTGTCTTTCTATGACATTTTGCTGGTGAACCCTAGGGGAACATTAAGCACACTTATGTTCAATAATGTATATAGCTTTGTTTCAGGTTTGTTCTCTACTTACTGTTTACTTTTTACTACCAGCCAGGCACAGGCCCAGGGTGTCAAGGGTCAGGGCGCCCCTCAGCCTGTGCCCTGTAGGCAGGTTCAGTAATCCTCCCATGTCGATAAGGCCTGACTTGCAGTTCCAGTTCATCCCAGTGGTTAAGGTTGAGCTCAGGGCTCTATGCAGGCTAGTCAAGATCTTCCACATCAAACTGAATAAACCACTTCTTTATGCAGAGGGCACTGTCAAGTAGAAACAGTAAATGGCCTTACCCAGAACGTTGCCACAAAGTTGGAAGCACAGTATTTTTCTAAAATATCACTGCACGCTGTGGCATTAAGATTTAGCATCAAGCATTAAGCCAAAAGTACGTAAAAGAGCCCAAATCCAAAATTACACAATGTACGGGGTATCCACATACTTCTGGCCACCTTAACTCTCGGCCACTCAACCAACCAACCAAGAGTAAAGTGATGCCAAGACATGCTTACGTCAGTGCTGGAAGACACGCCCACCTGGCTTTCCCTTACTACATTTCCGCAAAGTTTTTAATCTACCGCTGCCTCACCTTGTTAGAAGATTGTTTAGGTTTCAGGAAACACAGGAAATTATAAAAATGAGTGAAATTAAACCAAACGACGAAGTTGCAAATGACGACAACGGAGAGGAGAAAGACTGGGCTGCGGCCAAAGCTTTCTTTGACAACCTCAAAACAAAAGTACCGAGACCTGTAAGTATTTTGTTTTTTGCTCAACAGGTTACTGCACTAAGCTCTTGTGTAGCTGTAGATTAATTCGTTGCTAAGCTTTGGAGGCTTCAGGTCTAGCAAGTTTTATTTTCCACTTTTCCTTCCACTCCACAGCCCAAACCCCGGTTCGCTGTCACCATCGCCGTCTCCTCTCGCACCCTCTTCAACATGGTGGCAGAGAGGAAGATCTTTGAGGAAGAAGGAGTGGAGAAGTACGTGGCTCATCAGGTGGAGCATGAAAGCGAGCCCCTGAAACCAGGAGCTGCTTTCCCCTTCGTCAAGGTAAAGTAATCCTGAGCCCCGGAAGTGTCGACTTTTGCAGGGCGTGGTCCCTGAAGTGCACCTAATCGAATCATTTTAAAGCACATTGTTGACATAGTCCATACCAGGATCAGGTTCTGTCTTGCAACCTAAAGCCATGTTACACCTATAGTAGCACACCCCAGTCAGTCATGTAAAACAGCAGGTTTTTATCTTTAGGCACTGACAGATCCACTACAATTAGTGAATCATTACTTTTAAATAAATATGGCTGTCCACTTATCAAAGACACACTTTCTCTCCTAATTGGCTGACCGGTCATATCATCCTTCTCTGACATCATGGATGCTCCTCACTGAGGATATTTCTCATTTAAAGACAAACTATTCCAGACTTCCCCCTGCTGTACAGTGTCAGGTGCCTTCAAACCCGGGTATTGTCACCCTGGAATAAAGAAACATCACAGGAAACGTGATTGCACCCTGTTACTGTAAAATCATCTTGTATTCATAGGCTGCTATGCATCTACTCAGTGACAGGAGATCTGTTGCAGACCTGCTACAATGGGCCTGATTTCTCCAAACCTGCCTGGATGTAAAGTATAAACTGACTGTTGACTAACTCACTGGAGCATGTTAATTATTTCAATTGCACCATAGCCAAAAAACAATGGTGCAATTTTCAAGCCCACTATGAAGTTTTTGTGGAAACTTGAGGATCAGAGGTGTTCATTCAATTTCTATGAATGACTACATTTTTTTTGCTGCATTTAAAATGTGCTTACTTTTGCCTTTAGAGATTTTGAAAATATAGAAGTTGTAAGTTCTTAAAATTGTGGATATATTTTTGTTTACTCATACGCAATATTTAAATGGGAATAAGTGAGTTAAGTAAGTTATGTCATTGGGGACAATAATGTATTTTGATCCATGATTAAACCCTGTTAGCATTCTGCAAGTATTTTTTTTTTTTTTCCGTTGTCAGATATTTAACCTACTGCATGTAGACCAGGAACTTAAGTTAAGAAAAGAGTTGATGTTTTAGTGTCACAGCATGGTGAAATACAGATTGTGAAAGCTTGTTTCGGCCAGAGTACAGGTCTTCAGCACTGAGCTATTGTAATGTTTTGACATGAAAGTGAAGATAATAATCATTTAACATCATGTAGTATATAGAGTGTTTTGCCAAATATGTTAATCACCTATATCTGATACTGCAGCAGCTATAGGGAATGTACTGTGTATTGATTTTCCATTTTTTGAGCAAATGCACTGGGCAGTTCAAGTGATTAAAATGTTGCAGTGTTTGTGTTGTAACCTGATGGTGAACACTCTGACACAATACCCTGGTTTCTGGTGTGAATCTCTCTCTGTCTTCTCACACAGGCGTTGATGAACGTCAACTCTCGACTGAGGGAACTCTACCCAGACAGCGAGGAGCTGTTTGACATCGTCTTAATGACTAACAACCATGCCCAAGTCGGAGTGCGCCTCATAAACAGCATTAATCACTATGGTACGCCGTGCCCTAAACCAAACATTGCTGATTACCAGTGGCGGCTCGCCCGCTGCAGCAACAGGCTTAATCAAGAACAGCACTCAGTCTACTAATTACGCACTAGAAAACAAGAAGAGCTGTTGTAGGATAATTAGAATGGGATTTCTTTCTTCACATATCTGCAACTTGCTTTCATTCTTTCAGAGTTGACCATAGAGAGATTCTGTATGACGGGAGGGAAAAGTCCCATAGGTTACCTGAAGGCCTACATGACGAACCTTTACCTCTCCAAGGACTCAGAGAAGGTCACAGAGGCCATAGAGGAAGGTAAGTGAGTAGATTACAATCAATCATGACACTGTTTTGTGTCATAAAGTGCAACACAACATCAGCCTCTCTCAGCAGCCTTCAGATGTTTCTTGCACTTCACTAATATTTACACACTAGCATGTTGACTTTGTGTGTTACTCATTCTCACTGTTGAGAGAAATCTGGACGCCACACTGTGCAGCAAGGTTGAAGACAAGTTGTGATTTATGGCTCCCTGTCATCTAAATACACACAAAACAAACAGATAAGAAGCATAAAGACTCAAATTATTACAAAACTTAAATCATGAATTTATCAATATTGAGAAAAAAAGTCAGTTATTCAGCAAAAATGGTAAATATTTGCCTTTTCTCTTTCATATTTCATTGTAAACTGAATGTATTTGGCTTGATAATGAAAATTATTATTAGTTGCAATCCTACTTATATGTTGAATTATAAAATTCACTTTTACCCATCTCAGAATGAGAGGTGTCCATGTCCCGGTCCACAGCTGCCCTCATACAGTGTATGTGATGCATGCTAACAGCTGCCTGGAGCATGCCAGGTTTTCAAATGAGACTGCATCTGACCTGTGCAAGGACAGACTTCAGACCAGGCTGTACATCGCCTGCATATTTGTTTATAACACACGCAGGAGATGTGTGACATTCTGACCAACAAATCTATAAAAATGTAATTTCACACGAGACAACCATATAGACGGACAGAGAGAGAGAGAGAGAGAGATAGAGAGAGAGAGTGTGTGTAGGTCATTATGTTTCTCATCCATGCTGCCATTTGAGCTGTTTTCTCATGGATACCACCATCTAACGGCTCCAGATTTATTTATAATGAGACAGAATGGGCTTGAAATAATGGGTTTCTGCTCAGACCACAAGAAGTTTACAGTTTCTATTGAGCCTTACAAAGAAGACAAGCATCAGTAATGTGTAGAATTTAGTAACTAAGTCTCAGACAAAGAAGACGCAGTGTCGTCTTTTGAGTGGGAAAATTTTAAAATTCTTTCTTTAATGGTTTGGAAGCTTTGAGGCTGCATTGGCTAATCTGTCTAGATAAAAACTGTCCCTCTAGATTTGCATCTCCTCTTGGTATACAGAGGTATAGGAGATACAAATCTATTGTCAGAGTTGCAAAATCCTAACTAGTGAAGTGACAGTTGATAAAGCTGTTTAGTACATATTCATCTCCTCTCTATCAGGAATTGCCGCAGCCACAATGTTTATGCCGAGCACAGAGACTCAGTTGAGCGACACTCAGCTGAAAGTGGCGTTTGACGGCGACGCCGTCCTCTTCTCAGACGAGTCAGAGATCATTGTGAAGAAACACGGCCTGGACACTTTCTTTGAGCATGAGAAGCAGTATGAGAACAAACCTCTCGCTCAGGTAACCTATGTTTGTTTTTTATGTACTTTAAAATCACTGGGACTTCATGGAGGGAGACACTTTGTACAGATTATACTGTATATCTTCACAAAAATCAAACTGATACATCAGCCTGATATTGACCACAATTTAATAATAATTCAATAACAAGGCAGTTGTGTTATTCAGTGCTGATTTTCCTCTCTAATTGCAGATACATTGAAACATTCTGTCATAATTCACATAAAAACTTAGTGTAGAGTTTCCTCATTCTGGGTTTCAGTAGATAGTTACATTTTGCCACTACGGCTTTAATAAGAATTGGTATTCTTTTATACGAGGGAACAGATTGCAAGGGGCTTTCTGGTGGTTCTGTTCTCCAGTGGTTATCCTTAACTACAATAAACAGATGCTCAGCAGTTCATGTTCCTTATTTCCTGTGTTGAAAACTTTTAACTTGATTTTTTTGGCTCTTCCAGGGACCCTTAAAGTGTTTCCTGGAGGCTCTGGGGAAGCTCCAGAGAAAATTCTACACCAAGAACGAGCGTTTGAACTGTCCCATCCGAACCTACCTGGTCACAGCCCGCAGTGCTGCCAGCTCGGGGGCTCGTGTCCTGAAGACCCTCCGCAGCTGGGGCCTGGAGATCGATGAGGCTCTGTTCCTGGCGGGGGCTCCAAAAGGGCCCCTGCTGCAGAAAATTAGGCCGCACATCTACTTCGACGACCAGATGTTCCACATTGAGGGGGCCAAGGAGATGGGAACCATATCTGCACATGTCCCCTATGGGATCGGACAGAAGTACCACAAGGGGAAACTCATTGAGCAGCCCGCCAAAAAGGAATAACTTCACATAGCAGTTAAAATATTAACTTTGCACTGTTTTCACCTGCGTAAGAAGAGAGTTACTCCAGATTTAAAAATTGTATGCAGGAAAATGATCTGTTATAAAAATATTTTTTTGAGGATTGAGGTAATGAATTGGTGACGCAGTCTACAAGGTTTCCTAATTTGGGATGTTTTATAAAGTGTTTTTTTTATGATGGGTATTATTGATGAGTGGAGGAATGTATTTTCAAAGCAAGAGTTACACTAGGTGCCATACACTATTTCACTTAATGCCGTTTTGGAAGAGAAGCACCAGATGTATTACCTGGCAGTGCTTTTTAACCATGCTATATCTGTGTACCTTTTTTTTTAAAGGAATAACCATGTCTCTCATTTACATTGGAGTTTATGTTGGGGTTTTTTTATACCACAAACACGTTTATTTTATTTATCTTGGTTCTTGGCTGTTGGTTCTTGGCATATATGACCAGGATGGGAGAATATATCTGCTGTAGTAGTTGGTTTTTTTTCCTGCATTGGATCTTTTATTATCAGCAGCCAGTTTGAGGGTAAATTTGTCTAGCCAAAATTTTCCAACATTTTTGGTGTCTGGATGTAATCTTGCACATTTAATGGGACTCGTTACCATATGGGCTTTATGTGTAAAAGGGACCTTTATTAGGGTAGAGGCTTGCAAGGAAAACTGAAGCTGTCTGTCTTACTTACTGTCTCTAGTGTTGGTGCACACACTCTATAGAAAATGTCTACTTTTTATTTTTCCTCAAATTTTCAGTCATGTTCTGTGAGTTGTTTACACTTTTAAACTGTATCTGTATATCAGGCAGCGCACTGTAACTACACTTTGCTATCATGTTATGCTTTTCTTTATAGGAGTGACTACATAATATATGTTTGTAGATTCTTTGTGTCTTTCATATTACAAAAATAGCTTGAAAACTAGGAATAACTAAATGTCATCTTGGAGTTAAACAGTTACACTCATTTGTAAATTTTAATATCAAGACTGGTAATATTTCTAGATTGATTATATTCATGTCGTGGTAACAAGGTAACATGATTTTTGTACTACTTTAGCTTTCTTGGTTCAGATTTCTCTCAAAGTGTTTTGAGCACAGAGTTTGTAGAAGACAAATAAAGGAATGTGGAGGAAAACCATTTGCTTGTCTTTGTCAGTGGTGGAGAGTAAATTGTAAGTTGAGGTACTTGTACATAGTCTATCCATTTTATACTTCTCTACATTTGAGAAGGAAGTAGTGTATTTTTATTTCACTACATTAACACTAGATTATCAATGGAAAAAAACAAACATAATGAGCTTATAAAGTACAATGCATTGTTAAACATTAAGTGGTTTCCAAACTCCATGGGTTGTGATGCCATACAAAAAGCAATATCCAGTTGGGCCCATTGTTATGTTAGCACCTCTCTGAACATCTCAGATTGTTTCATTAAAATTGTTCTATTCAAGACCAAAGACCAATATCATCCAATTTTTATTACCCAGTATTTCATTTAAAAAAAATTCTTATCCCAAGCTTGGGAATCATTGGACTGAACTATTAAACTTGATCTAAAGCAGTTCAAACTTGCTACATCTTGACCATCTAACAGGATGATTGCCCAGGGACCTTCCCAAAGTAGGTGGGTCTTTCATATATCATATTTCACATATTCATATATCATACTTGCGTAATCGTGAATGTAACAATATATTTCTTAATAATATAATCTTATACTACGATTTCAGAGACCCCTATAGTGGACCATACTATTTCTTTACGTTGACGTTACTCGAACGTCTCATCTACCTGCCTCGTTCCCAAAAGTGGCTAGCGTCCTCAAATGTCTGCACCTGGGCGGCCCACAAACAAATTGAGAAATTGAGACACTGTTGGTAAATGTAAGTAGCATTAGCTAACTATCTAACTTGTTAAATATACTTCACTTTCTTACCTTCCGAGTTTCTGAATTAGTTTGTGTCACGTATCTACGGAGGGATGCTAATGTTAGCTAGTTTCTAACTTTTGCCTTAATTTACAGTTTAGCTAATGCTAGCTAGCTGATAACGCGCCCTTGTTGGTAATGTTGGCTTGGCATTTCCTTACCAATGTATGTCATATATTATCTAATTTTAACAAACACAAGTTCTCAGTCATGAGCAGTGAGATAATGGAGGATTAGTTGTTGTCGAGGTACATTTCGACATCAATATAAGTCCTTTATTAGTACCATCGTGGGGAAATTTGCAGTTACAGCAGCAAAAATAGAACTGCTAAATGTCAAGAGCGAATACTAAAATGTATCAGTTCATCTAATAATAATAATATAGTATCTACAAATCATATTTAAGTATGGCAAAAATAGCAGCACTGAAAGGATATTGCTCTGTTGGTGTGTGTTAATTATTGCACATGGTGAGTTTGTTAGTTTTTGGTGTGTGTGGTCTACTCAGTACAGTATTTGCTATACAGTCTGACATCAGCAGGAAGGTAAAACCTGCGGTATTACTCCTTCCCACAGGGAGGGTGCAACAGCCACTGGCTGAAGGAGCTGCCTAGTGCTGTCAAAGGGTGGGAGATGATCCCCAAAACGAATGAAAGCTTAGCCCATTATCTCCACTGGGTCAGGGGGCATCCCAGGATAGAGCTGGCCTTCATAATCAGTGTGTTCAGTCTTGTCCTGTCAGCAGTGGAGACGCTGCTGCCCCAGCAGACCACAGCATACAAAACGGCTGATCACAGTTATAAAAGGTCCTCAGGAGTGCGCCCTGCACACCAAAAGACCTCAGTGTCCATAGCAGATTACTTTATTGTAAAGTGCATCAGTGTTGTCAGTCCAGTCCAGTTCATTATTCAGGTGAACCCCAAGGTACTTGTATGAGTCCATGATCTCAGTGTTCATTCCCTGAATGTTCACTGGTTTGAGAGGATAGCGTTTGGGGTTGTGCTGATCTGGAGGCAGCTCCGCTGACACCAGTCCACAAAAGAGTTTATTATATCAATACAGTTTATTATTTCATTTTAATGATCTAGACTTTTACTTATAATTAAGTATCATTGGATTGATGTATTGGTACTTTTTACTAAAGTAAAGGATCTGGGTAATTTTTCCCACCACTTGTCTTTGTACATGTCAGCAGTAGATGGTGCTATTTAGATGTAATTTTACACCTTGGTGCTTTAGCTACACCTTTACAGTCCTACACCTCGGAGATGAGTCACTTACTTGTAAGCTTTAACCTGTTGAAGTCATGAAGTCGGGAGTCTTTTAGCTAATCTGTCCTTTTTTAACCCTCTATGTTCCTCAGTGTCTCTCCAGCCTCAGCAGAGCACCTCTCATTTTATATGTATAGGATGAAAGAAGCCACAAGGGGGAGCTCTTGCTCAACTATATTGGGATTAAACAGAAGGGCAAAATAAAAAACAAAGAATCCCCTCCTTTTGTGTGTAAGTTTCTTAAAGTATATAACAACAATAAAAAGGGTGAAACAACACTTGAAAATATAATTTAGGTTAAAAGTGATGTATAGAAATAATAATAAAAAAAAGGAACCTCAAAATGACAAAAAACAGTTTTATCTTACAAAGTGTACAATTCTTTGAGACGTTTGTTATAACTGAGCTCCCACTCAGCCCAATTTTCCAGGTACTAAAATATCACTGCAAAGCACAGCAAGAAAAACAAAATGCAAATCACTCTCCGCAGTGAACTAACATTAGGCCTAATTGGAAGTTAATGAGGTATCCTGCGGTTCCAGATATATTAAAAATATCTGAGGTTTATCCTTCTGGACTAAAATAACACCTAATATGAGGTTCAGAAATGTTCAAGTATTTTTATGTTTTATTCACGCTGAGAGTGGTAGAGGACGTGTTCAGATGCTTTATTTTAGTTGAAGAATACATGCTGTAAAATATTCCATTACAAGTAAAAGTGCTGCATTCAAAATCCTAGTAGTAGGAGATGTAGACGTCATAGCATTAAATGGAAATACTCAAATACAAGTACATCAAAACTGTATTGGAGTAAATATATTTACTTATGTTCTACCACTGCTCCACATCCCCTGATTTTTTACATTTTCAAATTTGCAGACTTCAGCCACAACCGACAAAGTAAAAAAAAGAAAGAAGTATAATTAACAAATATACGTAAAGCATAGTACGCAAAGTAAAAGTGCTCAATGCAGAGAACTGTTCTGTATTAAATATCATATTATATGGTTATAATACTGTTGTATTAATATCAGTAGCATTAAATGTTGTATCTGGTGAAAATGGTGCTATAATTTTACAATTTTATACACTGTTGCATCTTGATTGATCAATTAATCGATTAGTTGATCAGCAGAAAATTAATCTTCTCACATGTGAGGATTTGATGCTGTTCTTTGTCACACATGATAGTAAACTAGTAGATAGTAGAATATATTTGGGTTTTGGACTGTTTGTCAGACAAAACAACATTTAATGCAGCACCACAGGCTCTGATGAAGCTTAATGGCCATTTTTTGTTATTTTCTGATGATTTTGGCCAGGAAAAGAAAATCAGCACATTAATGAAAATAATTGTTAGTTGCAGGCCTAGAGTGACATGCACAATATTCAATGTATTGCAGCAGAAATATAAAAGTGGCATAAAATGGATATACTTAAGTAAAGTACCTTAACTTTGGCTTGAAGTACTGCACTTGACTACATTTTCTTAGTTACACCACAGTAGACTGTTCATTTATTAAACACAGATTTTTAGTGATCGTCTTATGTTCTTGACCCTATTTCAGCAACAGGCAGCTTTACCAGTTTGGTCACCATGGTAATGACTCTGAATATTGTTCCCTGACTAGAAAATATGAGGATGAGAAGATTGTGAGGTTTAAAAGTCAACGCTCGAGGGGGTCCGGATTTATTTTAATTTTATAATAATTTTCTACAGTTGAGTTATTCGTCTCATCAGTGGATCGTCTTTGCAGCAAGGCACAGTTTTGTCAGGCAGCAGAGTGTGTTCGTGTTTGTGTGCATCCCTGAGAGCTGGGACCCAACCGGCTGTTGCCATGGATACTCGGTGCTGACACCACAAGAACTGTGTAGGCTTGTTGAAGATATAATTAATAACAAAGGATTAGAGGCAAAGGTAGCATGGGGCTCAGTATGAGAAACCTCATCACACAGTTACTATAATTGGCATCCTTTCTTGTGTGTGTGTGTGTGTGTGTGTGTGTGTGTGTGTGTGTGTGTGTGTGTGTGTGTGTGTGTGTGTGAGGACGCCACAAGAAAAGTTACCGAAAAATAACAGTGGAAACAGTACTCTCAGACTGCTGCTGCATTTATCTTCTTGACAAGCAATTTGCTCTAAATATGTTTTCTTGGTTGGTGGCCAGAAACTTGTAGGTAGATGTTTTCTGAAAGTAATTTATTTTGACCAGCATCACCTTGGTGGTTGCCTTCATGCCTACATACTGAATATCTGGGGAAAATTTATTAAACATAATTAGATAATTGATATTCCTTTAAAATGTATTGATAAATCACATGAACACAAAAGCTTTGTCTAATGTTTACATGGAGTACAGACCAAAAACATGTTGTTTTTAGCCACGACTGATCACTTTTGAATGGACTGCCATTAAATCGGGTGCAGATATTAATGACTTGTTGGTATCTTTACAGATTATGCTCACATTTAAAAAATAAATGATGTGTTACTGGACTGGTATAATGCTTGAAGAGAAAGAAGCATCCAACACTATGTTACATAATCTGGAATAATGGTTATGAATTGTTCTAGATGTTAATAAATAATGGCATTTGAACAGAAATTAGTTCAAAAGTAAACAAAAGCAGTCAGAATATACTGTTCATTACTAATTGAAATTAAAGCTGCATGTCAACCCATGATTGTATTTTCTTATATTGTCTGCAGTATTGGGACTACACTTTCCACAAACCACAGAGAATTTACTCCCCCTGTGGCTTTCTGTGTTGAGTTTCTCTCGGTGAAGTTTGAGTCTCTGCAGGTGGCGCTCATTTCTTCAACTGTTCGACCGTGAAGTCTGTCAACGCTCGTGATAACAACTCAGTGAATCTGCTGCACGATGCTACAGTCGCCATTTGCTGTGTGACTGAGTTGGTGGCGCGCACACACACAGTGATGTG